TAAAAGTTAACCAGATTAGCTTCTCAGAATTGCTTTTTAAATTTTTAATCCTTGTGAAGGCCCAAGTCTATTTTCAAATTACTCTAGAAGTTGTCGAGAAATGATGGTTTGCGCCACCAATGAATCCTCCTCATAAAAAAAAATTAATTAAGTGCCATCATTAGAAATAATATTGTTAAAGAACATTTTCTTGCTTAGCTAAGGAAAATGTTTTTATTAGTTTAAGAATTATTGCATTTCAGACATTATAGTCATGTATTGAACCATTTGACAAAACCGTTTTAACCATAAAACTTAGAGTATCGGAGAATTGTTCATTTCAACGCCCACCATTCATTAAGCAATAAATAAAAAAAACAATTGTTTTTCTATTTTTTCTTTGATTTAAAAAAAATTGATTTTCTCAGAGGTTGGCAATGGCCTGGTCGGCTCGGTGCTCGCTTTCCGAAAGAGTGGTACCCGGGTTCGATCCCAGCACGCACCAATATTTTTCAGTGATTATAATTAAAAATATGTGCGTAACGTTACGTTGCCAGCCTCTGGAAGTGGCAGAGATAGCCGGGCGGCACACGTCTGACTTGGGCGATCACACATTTAAGCATCAACATGAATGGGTGACCACTTTAGTCAGCGTTGGCTAGCGCGAGGGATCTCTGCACACTAGGAGAGGGGCCTAATGCTCCAGTGGTCGATAAAGAAGAGTTTCTTATCAATCACTGTAGACTTAGCCCAGCTCCGACTGTACTATCATGGGTTTTCTCTGTGGTTTCCCCATGGTTCTGTTCCAACAGCCTGAGAGGTGAGGTTCAGGGTGAATACGGTACAAAAAAGCCCTCATGGAATTAACCCTCCACCTCCTTCCTCCACTCTTTTCTCATAGCACCAAGCTCTCAACCCCGCTCTTCCCTCCAGTCTCTCCCTCTGTAACTCCTCTCTAACCAAGTAGCCTGCCACTCTTCTAGAGACCCCAAGAACCCATCTTAGGTATCTGTCCTGTATACTCTCCATCTCTTCTCTGGCTTTCCATCCCCAAATTTCTACGCCATAACTCATTACTGACCACACCAGCCTGTCGAACAACCAAATCCTTCTAGCCCAATCTCGCCCGAACTTCCTTTTTCTGATCCCCCAAATCTGTCCCAAGATCCTTGCTCCTTTTACCACTCTCTCTCTCTCACATGATCATTCTGGTCCCCGTTCGCTCTTATCACATAACCTAGATACGTGTATCTGTCCACCTCGTCCACATCTTTTCCTTTCCAATTCCATCGAACCTTCTTCTTTCTACCTCCACCTTTTCTGCACCTCATAATTTTTGTCTTTCCTACGTTAACCTCTAATCTTTTCCTAGCCACATATCTTTCCAAGGTCCTTATCATTCCCCTCATTTCATCTTCATCCTTAGCTAATAAGGCAATATCGTCTGCGTAGGCCAACGAGTACACTTTTTTCCCCCCAAAAAGCTCAACACCTCCCCATCTCCCTTTCTCCATTTCCTCATCCAGGTCCGCCAGGAAAATCACAAACAGCAGAGGGCTTAGAGGACACCCTTGTCTAACTCCTTTCTCCGTCCAAAACTTTTCTCCGAGCTCCTTTCCAACTCTAACTCTGCTAGACGTTTCCCTTAGCACTTCTTCACATCTCTTCACCAATCCCTCACTAATTCCTCTTCTCCTCATCGCTTCACACAGTTCCTTCCTGTCCACCATATCAAAAGCCGCTTTGAAGTCCACAAATAATATCACCATTTTCCCCCTACACTTGTCGATTTCACGATTGATCAGGTAGTTCAGGACGTACACATTATCGATAGTTCCTCTCCCCTCTCTGAATCCTGCCTGTGATTCAGGCAATAGTCCATTTCCCTCCACCTCCATCTTTAACCTCCTTTCCAGAATTCCAACATAGACCTTATATGTCGTCTGAGTAATTGTTATCCCTCTATAGTCCTCCACCTTAGTTCCATCGCCCTTCTTCCTTATTGGTACAATCACACCATTTTTCCAGTCTTCAGGCCACTTCTCTCCGTGCCAGATTCTTTGGCAGATCCTCCAGAGTTCTACCAATACTCCTTCCCCTCCGTACTTCCAAACCTCATTCGGAATTCCATCATCTCCTACGGCTTTATAGTCCTTCAATCTTTTCACCACTTCCCTGACTTCTTCTAGTCCAATTTCATCATCCTTAGAATCCTCCTCCATGTTCTCGTTCTCCCCAATTCTCCTTACTCCCACTCCCCCAAGAGTATTACGAAAGTGGTTATCCCACTCTTCCCTCTTAATATCCCTATTTACTATGTCCTTCTTCTTCCTTCCCTGATTAACTATTTTCCAAATCTGTGCCTCCGTTTTAGCGTTTTTACCTGATCCTCCCACCTTCTGTTTTCTGCTTCTTTTTTCTCTTTGCACATTTTACCGTACCTTCTCTTTTCTACCAAATATTCTTCCTTTTTGATTTTACCCCCCCCCCCCCTCCCCTAAACTTTTTCAGCATTCTGCTCAGATTTCTTTTCTCTTCCCTACACTCAGTATCCCACCATCCAGATGATCCTCCCCTTTTTTTCTCCACCTTCTCTGATTCCTTCATGCCACTTTTTATTTTTCTCTTAAGTTCACTCCATAACTCTTCCACCACATCTTCTGTCAGCTCCTCTTCATTAAACTTGTTTTGGAACTTTTTTATGCCTTCATTAGATCATATTCCTCTACCTGTCCTATTCTCTACCCTTTTGTTGACTTTTCTTATTCCATATCCCCTTGCTTCTATATCCACCACAACCGGTAAGTGATCAGAATCAGTTTTCTATTTTCAGACCTTTTACCCTGACTCTATTTCTTTCATCAATTAAAACTAAATCGATCACTGAACTCCCTCTCTCTCCAATGAATGTCCATTCTCCCACCTCATCACCTTCCACACATCCGTTCAAAATTACCCATCCTCTCTCATTAATAAACTTGCATAGGTCTTTGCCCTCCTTGTTAGTAACCGTGTCCCTAGACTTTCTCAGCTTTACATCTACCTGGCCCTCCATATCTTTTAACCCTCCTTCTGTTCCCATTCTTACGTTGAAGTCACCACCAATTATTATTTGTTTATCCCAAACTTCCTCCATCCATCTCCTCATTAGTTCTTTCTTCCTATCCAAATCTTCATTAATGTATACTCCTATCACCCACCACCAATCTTCTCCCAATTTAACCTCCCTTTTCACCCATCCCTGTACATCCCAATTGCCTCTTTTTCCCACCTCTATTCCTTCTTTAATCCCCACTAAAATACCTTCTTTCGCTCTGCCTCTCCCTTTAGGGACTATCGCTTCCTGTATTTTCCAACTGAAACCTCTTTTCCACGACTCCCTTATCTCTGACCACTTCTTACTATTAGCCCAAGTCTCCAGTAAGACCACCACATCCCAGCTCCTCAGGCCTCTCTAAAAATCTTCATCCTTATTTTTGACCCCGGCCACATGCCAGAAACCTATCCTGCATGTAACTTTCCCTCCACCTGCATGTGCCTTTCCCCTCTCCTTGTCTCTCCCTCTTATTTTTCTTCCCCCCTGCCCCCTTTTACCAACCTCCATCCTTATTCGTTTCCCATCTGATGTTTCCAACTTCCTTCTGCTTCATCCCATAATCTCACGACTCCATTCACCCACATTTTCATGTACCTCACTTTCACCGTCTTGCCAAGCGCTCTTTCCTTCATAGCTTCCTCAATGATGATATTTTTGACCCTTCTCTCTTCGAACGTTAGGTCATCCTCTATCCTTACTATCTCTCCTTTTAGCTTACTCTTTGCCAGCATAACCTCCTTCTTTTTGCTAAATCCATCCATTTCCACTAAAACCAGCCCTTTTCCATTCTCATCCAAGCCTCCAATTTTTCTCATACTTTTTCTTCCCACACCGATTTCCATTTTAGCCCACACTTTGCCTACCTCACTTTTCCAATCAACCCCTTCATTCATATCAATCCCTTTTACAATCACATTATTTCTCCTTGCATCTTTCTCCCTCTTTTCCGCCACCATTTCAAGCTTTTTTATCCTTCTCTCTGTTTCCACATCAGCTAATTCAAAACGGATTTCAATAAATTCTACTTCCGACAGGGATTGCGGGGCTGGGTGCTAGAATTTTAAATTTCCATTTTTCAAACTGTAAGTTTTACAAACTCGAAATTAGGTCGGAATCTTTTATTTGTCATGAGGAGATCATCTCAAAACGGAGTCCAAAAAATTCTACTTCGGATGGGGATTGCGGGGGTGGGTATTAAGATAGATAGATAATTTTTATTGCTTTTAAAGTTTACAACTTTGTTGCAAAAGAGGTTACATTAATTCTTATGATATAATTTTACATTTTTAACAATTTTAATTCTCTTAAATTACAATAGTTGACTAAGTTTTGATATAAAGCTTTCAACTTGTTGGGCTTGTGTAAATCCATTATTTCTTCTAGGTTAACGGAAGACTTTGTCAGATTGAGATTATCTAGCAATTTATATCTTAGTTTATTAAAAACAGGACAGACAAATAAGAAGTGGCTAAGTGTATCTTTTTCTTCTGTATCGCAAATGGGACATGCTAGTAAGGGCGAAAATTCTATTACCTTTCCACTGATCGTTATTTTGAAGCCAAAACTATTAGCCGTTCGCATCTGAGCAAAGACCTTTTTTATTTGCAAATTTATGTTACTATTTAAATATCTGTTGGTATTTTGATTACAAATAGTTTTGGACTCCAGGTACACAATGTTACATACTTGATTTAAAATATTTTGTGACAGAATGACTCGGTATTTTGCTAATAGAATTTTATCCGCACGTTCCCATATTTCACTTTCTAACGTATCAATTAAATATATGAACTTTTTATCGACTAGCTTAATAAAATCACCTATTTGAGCAAACCAATTATAATCTTCATTTGTATTACCGTTTTTATACATAAGCATCTGTTTCTTTAAACATAGTAGTGGAAGCCTGTGTTCTGCCATTTTTAAAATATTAACTAGCCAATTCCAAGTATTTTTCCATATAATATACGATAGATCTATTTTATTAGTTTCAAATTTAACAAGCGCATTTGATGTAGTTCGTCTCAAGTTTAGAATTGACTTAAAAAATTCCGTTTGTAGGCATTCTATTTCGTTTGTATACCTCAGGGCCCAAATGGGTGACGCATATAAAGCAACTGAGGCGATCATTCCGTCAAAAAGTTTACAGATATTATCAAAATTATTTATCTTAGAGCGATAAATTAAAGAAATTACCGCTCCGACAGCTACTCTCGCTTTCTTGATCGCATTTAATGCAGCTAAACGACCACGACCGGACGAAGAAAAGGGTATGCCCAAATAGGTGTAACTTGATACTATATTTAGTTTACTGTTGTTATAGAAGAAATTTTGATTTTTTGGCTGCCGGCCCGCTTTACGACAGTATAATATTTCCGTTTTGTTGTTATTTACACAGAGTTTATTTATCTTACAGTACTCCGATAAAGCTTTTAGATTTTTTGCAACACTCGCTTTGTTTTTCGCGACAATAGCTAGATTATCAGCATAAAGTAACATTAATACGTCAGTAAGCGAGTTAACATTAATTCCATAAATACCCTTCGAGCGAAAGAAGTCCTCTATGTCAGATATATATAAAATAAACAGGAGAGGGCTCAAGATCTCACCTTGCAAGAATCCCTCTGTGATTGCGATTTTGTCTGAAAGGCCATCCTTTGCTTTGATTCTTATTAATGATTTATCGTAAAGATTTTTTAATATTCTTATCAATTTAGCACTAACTCTTAAACTTAATAATTTATCCCATAGATTTTTATGTACTATCGAATCAAAAGCGCGCTTAAAATCAACAAAAATAATATATGCTGAACCTTTTTTCTTTCTCAGACACGAGTGTATTAGTTCTGTCAATACAAAGAGGTTGTCCATGCATCCTCGCTGAGACCTGAACCCCGCCTGTCCCTCCGGCAAAATGTTACAGTCATTTGCCCAGGTGTATAACCTTTCAGCTACCATCGAAGTAAATAATTTGGTGATGTGGTTTACTAGTGCTATACTTCTATAGTTATTTAAATCGTATTTATCACCTTTTTTGTGTAACATAGTAACTATTATACTCGACCATGACCCGGGGACTTCTTCCTCTCTTAGGATCTTATTAAACATACCCAACAAAAAAAGTTTCCAATTAATAGGCAGAGACTTATAAAATTCGTTAGGAATAGTATCCTCTCCGGGAGATTTATTTGTTTTGCTTGCCTTTAAGGCTTTTTCTAGTTCTGCCATACTAAAATCTGAGTCTAAGATTGGATCTATAACGCCGAAGTACTTATGCTCATTTATTTCATACGGTTTTAAGACTTTTTCATAAAATTCCACCCATTGGCTACCCGTGATATCTGGTTGATCGTAGGATTTCCCTCTAAATTTACTTAGTGCCTTCCAAAATTCGTGTGGTTTCTTCGCATTATTAACATCTTTAGATAACCTACTTGTATACTCGTCTTTTTTATATTTACATAACTTTTTATATTCATTTAATTCTCTTATATAATTGATTCTGTCTATGCCATTAAAATTATTTTTTCTATACAATTTAAGCATACGATTCGCAATATATTTTTGATCTCTGCATGCTTTATCGTGCCATGGATATTTGTGAATAGATTTTCTATTATATTTAACATACAACACAGCAATTTTATCTGCCGTATCTGTAACAGCTCGTGTCAACCGACCTTGTAATTCATTTATGGAGTCTAACTCAAAACTTACGCTTATTAGAGGAGACCATCTCATTAACTGCTTATATTCATAACTGTGATTTCTATTCCAACTCAGTTTGGCCATTTTTTGATTTGGATTTGGGATTAGTGTTTTTGTTGTATTAAAACAATTTAAACTTAAAGAAATCGGGAAGTGATCTGAAAAATTTACTGAATAAAGTACCTCAAAATCTGCTATTTTTTCCAAACCATTAATGTCAGACCAGGTTAGATCTATTATGCTACTTCCTCTACCATAAAAGGTCGGCCGAGCCGGGCTGTCACTGATAGACCTACCATTAATTAATATACAATTTAGACTATCCATGACATTATTCACTAAAATTCCTCTATCGTTTAAGTCTACCATGAGTAAGGCCTCGTGACGTTGTCAAAACATTTGGCAACGCAAGTAGACTCAAAGATTACGGGGATCACAGAAGAGACAAGTAACAAACGAACGAGACAGATACAGGGATAACTAAATATTATAGCTCAACAGGCCTTACGGCTACACCTCCCCGCATGGGCCCCGCTGGGCAACTGGTCGGATTGTCATTATATTACTGGCCAGGCCAACGTAGTCGTTGAATGGAGTTGTATAGGAGAGGTTTGATACAGTGAACAATTACGAGGACAGATTGACATTAAATTAAATACAACTCCATTCACATTCTGTCCAGTGAGAGCGTAAAAGCTGGAGGGCAGGGTTTTTCCTTGCCCGGCGAGTTGACAGTGCTTTTGTTTTGGTGAGATTTGGGTTTTATTTTAAGTGCGTGTATAGCTTTTTTAAGCCCAGGAAACGGCCTGTTCGAAAGGAGGCAGACGAAAGTCTCACCAAATAACTCGTTTAAGTCTACAATTGAAAAGCGTCCTCTTGCTTCTAACTTGGTGTCCATGAGAAGCTCTTCCTGAAGTACATCTAGTGCTCCAACGTGCGCGTTGAAATCCCCCATCAGATATAGCGGCAAGGTATTATACTGTGGCACAACAGTTTCTGCTGCTTCTTGGAGATTTTGTAGATCACTGTTGAAGTGTGCATAGTTTGGTCGCAAGTAAGTAAAACCGGCTATACAGTCTAGATTGTTTTTTGTAATACGCATAAAGCAGCAGTTGAAAGATTTGTGGAGAAATTTTATATTAAGGCCTTTTCTGGTGAGAATCAACATCCCACCACTTGGGCGTCCCAGATTTTTATTTTTGGTTGCGTCTATCCAGCAGAGATCAAAAGTTGTTTCCCAAGAAGTTAGCTTTATTGGTTTGATTACCCAGGTCTCTAAAATACATATTATATCATGTTCACTTACACTTGTATCTGATTGAAAGTTTTTAATGCCATTTATGTTCCAAGCTAATAATTTAAGAGAATTTATTGATTGTTATTGTTTACTTGGAGTCTGTTTTGCTATTGTGTTAAATACTTGAAGTTGCGCTGGTTCTAGTTTCTGTTCATCCTCATTCCATTGCATCCACTGATTATCAATTCGTACTTTATTACTGTAGTAACTGATTCTTGAGCCTTTTGCTTTGTATTCTCTTGCAGCAAGTCTCAGTTGCTTCCTTTCATAAGCCTGGTTTTCTGTGAAATCATTTTCAATGTATATTTTTGTGTTTACAAGAGCTCTTCTTTTGGACGCTAGGACATGTTTTTTGTCGTCGTAATTTTTCATAGATACCTTGTAAATGTTCTTATCCTTTCCCATGATTATGGGATCGCGAAAACGATTCTGTAAATTAAAATTGTCTCGGAAGAACTGTTCCAGTAGCATATTTACATTTTCTGCTGGTGGTATCGCGGGTAAGCCTTTTATGACGATGTTTGCTTTTCTGCTTTCTCTATCTTTTGTCTCAAGATTGTGGGCGAGCTTAAGAAGTCTGTTTAAAGTATTATTTTTTCTCATATCTCTTGGTGTATTATGAGATGTATTGCACGGAGATTCAGAGTCGAATCTTTTATTTAACTTTTCTATATCTTGTGTTATTTTAGTGTGATCTTTTTGTTTAGTGGACACTGCAGCGATCTCCTTCTTGAGGTTGTCCATTTCCTCCTTGTGGCCTTTATTAAGATCATCTAATTGCTTCGCTATTGACTTTTCTAGTGCTTGAAATTTTAACTCGTTACTTTTTGTTTGTCTGTCTATGCTTTCCTTGAGTCCTCTGATTTCTTTAAGGATATCCTCAGTTCC